CAAATAAACATATGAAAAAAATGTTCATCATCATTTATTTATCTTTAGGGCACTACAGACTAAAACAATGAGATACCATTTCACATCTATTACAATGGCTAAAATCCAAAAAATTGACAATACCAAATGCTGCAAGTATGCCAAACAGCAGGAACTCTCATTTATTGCTGGCGGGAAGGAAAATGGTACAGCCACTTTGGTACAGACATTTTGACAGGCTCTTACAAAACTAAACATAGTCTTACCAAATGATTCAGCAATAATACTACTAGGTATTTACCCAACTGTTTTAAAGATTTATGTTCACACAGAAATTACATGTGAATGTTTACAGCAACTTTATTCATAACTGCCAAAATTTGGAAGCATCCAAGATGTCCTTCAGTAAGTCAATGGATAAATAAACTGTGGTACAACCATCAATGGAATAGTCGTCAGTGATATAAAGAAGTGAGCTATCAAAGCCACAAAAAGACATGGATAAATCTTAAATGCTTATTGCTAAGAGAAAGAAGCCAGTCTAAAAAATCTACATACTGTACAATTCTAATTGTATGACATTCTGGAAAAGGTAAAACTACAGAGGCAGTGAACCCATCAGTGATTGCCAGTGGTTTGGGGTGGGGGAGGGTTGAACAGGTAAAGCACAGTGGTTTTTTTTTTTTAGGGTGGTGAAACTATTCTGTATGATACTGTAATGGTTAATACAAGACATAAAGCATTTGTCAATATCCAAAGAACTTTATAGCACACAGAATAAACCTCAATGTATGCAAATTTTTAAAAAATTATTTAGGTCAAGAGGTCCATGAATAGAATGCAGAATGTGACAAAAGAGTCTAAATGCATTTCAAATGTATAAAACAACCTTACTGAAGGGAGTGGAGGAATAAAGTACTACCTTTGGAAATGAGTGGTCTGTAAGACTAAAGGCATTGTACTCTAGTTGATAAAGTTTCCCATGAGAGTACAGGTTAAGAATTCTGAAACCACCATCCATGTATACTGGAATTGCAATTAAGTAATTGGATGGCTAATGGCGGGAGCCAGGTTTTTCACTGTTGGAGGGGCAGGTTATAGATAGCAAGGAAAGGAAGCTACAATGATCCACGTAGTAATGGATTTGAGTTGGACACATCAGTATAAACTCATGTTTAGCTTAATATGGACACAGATGTTTAAACAGAAACATTTATAGATATTAGTATATAGATAGTGTAAACACATATATCTCTTGCTGTGTCAGCTGAGAGTGCCTAGAAGCAAGATATCCCAGTGGCAACAAGTACACTTAGTGCCTAGATCTTGGTTTCTCCAACAAAAGGAACCAAGGCTCCTCGGAGAAATGGCTGATTCTAGGACTGGGCAGGAAATACATATGATGAGCATGGAGCATCTTATAATACCAGAAAGTAAGACAATGCAAATGCACACGTGTGTGCACACACACGATGTACAAAGTATGTCAAAGGGATAGAGAGAAGCCAACTTCAAGATCTCCCAAAGGCCAAAGCTGGAAGAATTTGAACAATAAAGTAATATTGGATTATAACCCAAAGCTTTAAAAAACTGAGATAAATAGATGAGTAAATAAATAAATGGAGGAACAAGGCAAATTTCCCATGCAGAATGATTCCAAATCGTTTATGTAGATACTTTGCTGTCAAGGAAGTGGAAAATAACTCCCCACTCCTTAGGTGTGTGCTGCACACAGTGACTTTGTAAAGAGTACAGCATGGAAAGGGAGAAAAAAGAAAATAACTTCACAGTGGAGAAACCCGACAAATACTACCTCAAGCCAGAGGATCAAGGATAACAACAACAGTGATAAGTCATGTTGAGAGTATGTACCCTCAATATGATGTGACGAGAATGGCATTTTATCTGTTGTCTTCCTCCCAAAACATATTACCACAATCTAGTCAAAAACATCAAACAAATTCCAAATCACATTCTACAAAATAACTGACTAGTAATCCTGAAAACTGTCAAGAGATCTAAAAACCAAAGAATATCTGAGAAACTGTCACAACCATGAGGCGGCTAAGGAGACAAAACAACTGAGTGTAATGTGGGATCCTAGAACAGAAAAAGCCTATTATGGAAAAACTGAGGAATTGTGAAAAATGTATGGACTTTAGATAATAATAATATAATAGTGGTTCATTAATCATGACAAATGTACTATAGTAGTGTAAGATGAAACTGGGAACTTACAAAACTAAACTGGGTATTGGGTATATGGGAACTCTCTGTACTATCTGCAGTAATCCTGTAAATCTAGCTGTTCTAAATAAANCCAAATATTTCCAGTTCTCCTCTCTTCTGGGCCTATGATACAGTGTACTTTCTGGCCCCCTTGTGGTTGAATAGGGCCATGTGACTGATTCAGGAAAAGGAATTGTGAGAAGTGACGTGCTTCATTTCTAGACTGGATCCTTTACTCACCAATGTGAGACGCTTCAGAGTCTGCTCTCCCTCTGGCACAGCAAAAGGCAGGACTTCATATTGTGGTTGCTCCATCAGTTTGAGTCCTTGAGGGATTCCAATGAGTAGAGCACTTCTGGAACAAGAAATAAACCTTGTTATATGCCACAGATTTTTGGGAATGATTCGTTACTGCAATAAAACTTAGCCTGTCTTGGCAGACAAACTTTGTTTTATGCCCTGAGATTTGAGGGTGGCTATTCTGCATTATACACTGAGGCAGCGCCTCATGGAGGCTATCTGCACAGCTTTGTTTCCTAATGTGTTTTTCCCTAACAACAGAAACTCTATACCCATCGTTATGACTTGCCAGGTAAATAAATGTATTTCATTGTAAGTGCATACTTACTTCTACTTCTCAGAGTGATAGAGAATCTTATTCTTTTAATTTTTTTTATCATGGAAAATGTCAATCACATATAAAAGTAGAGAAACAGTGCAATAAACCATTTATCTACCTCTCAGTTTTAGCATCAACAACTCATGGTCATAGGTCTTATTTTATCTGTAGATTCACCCACTCTACCCCTTCCCTCAAAGCTGGATTATTGTGAGGCAAATCTCATGTAGTATACCTTTTCATCCCTAAATTTTTCTAGTTGTAAATTTAAAACCTAAGCACTTTACAAAGTAAAACTAGTAATGCGATGAACTCCCTTGTATCCAATACCTTCATCCACCTTCAATATGGACAATCTTGTTTCATCCATACCCTTACCCACCCATATTATTTTGAAACAAATTCCATGCATTGTATCATTTCATTGATAGATATTTCAATATGNCCCTCCACCCTCCACGGCACCCCGGAGGGCTCCCCCCGCAGAGCCGAGCACTCCAGGCGACCCGAGTGGGTGGGACCCGGCAAACAGCCGCCGAGATTCCCCTCCTGGCGTGAGCCGGCCTTCCAGACTTCACCGAGGGGACAAGAGGTGTGAGGGTCGTGATTCCCCGACCAGCTCTGGGGGATCGGAACACGAACCGGTCTAGGGCCCAAACTCGGCCCCCGGGAGGAAGAGGGCCAGACTCAGAGCCTACGGGCAGAGCGTCCAGCAGCTACCCCGCCCCCTCCGTGAAGGCAGCAGGGCTGAGGAGAGACCAAGATGTCTATTACGAGGGGCTCTTACCTCCCCACACCCCCGCGGAGCTCTCTGGGGACTCGACGCGACGCCGCGCTGAGGCGTGAAGAGCAGACCCGGCCGGGAGTCCCGGGAGTGTACGACGTCCGCTTCTGATTAGTTTCACGGACCTGGGAGTGAGCAGACGGCGCAGGCGCAGAGGAGGCTTTCCTACGGCTCGCACGCCCCCTCCCTCCGCGTCCGCGGCCTCCCTCGTCCCGAGGCGCCTGCGCGCTGCGCTGCGGGGTCTGAGCTGGGGGGCGCCGGGGTTCTTACCGGAAGTGCTTGCAAAGGTTCTGGGATGACGGCGACTGCTGAAGCTCGGCCTTAAGATCTGGACTCGGATTCCCACTAGATGCTTTGGAACCGAGATCGGGAGGCGACCCGCGTCACTGTCCGGCTTCCTTTGCCCTTTGCTGACCTAGATGCAGCTTCCCCCGCCCCCAGCCTCCTGCAGCCTCGGAGCGGGCGCAGCTTGCCGGCCTGTACCGGACACACCCGCCTGCCAGACAGCAAACCCCNAAAAAATAAGTAAATAAAATAAAAATAAAATAAAATAAAAATAAAGTATTTGGGGTTTTTACATTTGACTGTGGATGTCATAAAGTGATAGAAATTCCACTCAAAATAGCTCAGTTAAACTACAGAAACCAGACTAAGGAATAGCTGAAAAATAATCTAACTTCTTTGTTCTACCCTCCAGTGTCCTAGTCTTTATTCTAAGGTGAGGAAAATACCATCTCTTATAGTAATGAAATACCAATTTATGTAGAGCTTTCAAGTTGCTTTTAGCTGGCTCATATGTTGGCTTTTTTAAAAAGTCTTTCTTTTAGCTAAATTTGTATCTAGCGAAAAACTTTTAGTTTCCTTACTTCTATTTCTGGCTATTGGTTCCATTTAGAATAAGAATAAATTCCATTAGTGACAAAAATGAAAAACCAACAAACCTGGATTCTGTTCAAAATCATCAAGGAGTTTGTCCAAGTCACTGACTGCTGCTTTAAAATAACTATCCATCCTACTTGTAGGCTTATTCAGAATTTAATTCTTGTATACCTAGAAAATAAAAAGTATAATAGTTCATTTAATTCTCTAACATATAAATATTATGCCATCTACTGCATGCCAAGAAACTTAGTGAATAGACACAAATGAAATTTAAGAGTATTGCTTTGAGGAATCTACAGTTGAATTGGGGAATTTTCCTCTATATATACAAAAAATGAAATGAAAACCAACTCTAACAACATAATGTGCATACATAAACTATTGCAAATTTTAAAACATGTATCTAACTCATGGGTCAAAGAAAAATTCATAAGTAAAAGCTAAAAATAGTTGTAAGTGCCATGTGTGAAATAATGTAAAATATATTATATACAGATAAAAATACTGCATATTAAAACTTGTGAGACAGCAAAAGTGGTACCTCAACAGATCCCTAAGGCCTTAGATGCTTATACTAGAAAAGAAGACTGAAAATTTATAAGCTAAGAGCAGAAATTAAAGAGATAGAAAACAAACATACAAGAGAGAGGTACAAGAAAACTAAAAGTTAGTTTTGCAAATAAAGTAGATGAACCTCTGATCTGAGGGAAGAACTCCACCAAATGAGCCTGAGACACCTTGAAGGAGCCTATCAATGACTAAAGGGATAATATCAAAGGACACAGGAGACAAGTTGAAGGGCTCCCACTGGCTTAAACCGGACAACTGAACATCAAATGATTGAAGACTGCAGAGGACTGAATGCAAATCAAATAGATAAAAAACAAAAACAAGAGATCAAAATGATACTAAAAGCACAAACAAAAAACACCACCCATTGGAGTGTTGTTAGAGCACTAACTCATTACTCTGAAATTGATACATTAAAGAGAAGGCCCCAAGAATTTATCCTGTCCTTTATTTACCAAATGTGCTTTATAACAAAATAGTTGCTAAAGGAAAGTTCTTTAGATAAGAATTCCAGTATATAAATATAGAAGGATATTAAAAATCATCTCTTGGGCCGGCCGAGTGGCGCGATGGTTAAGAACTCGCTTGGGATGCCAGAAGGCCCCGGTTCGGATCCCACATATGAGGGCCAGTGACACTGCCCTCNCCAGTACAGAAGATACAAAAGAAATATTCTAAACAATATTATTTATTTGTAAATATGATAACCTGTTTTAAGTAATATGGTTACTCACTTGGCCATGTATATGTACTCTCAGATTTACAAACACAATATTTATGAAAAATGGTTTTAAAAAATCTCATGATTTAAAAAAATTGGCAGCAACATGTAAGATTAATCAGAAAACCAACAAAACCAATAGTAAGGAATCTCCTAAAATGGTTAAGGTGAGAGATAATGTGAACCTGTACTGAGATAGTGCAGTGCAGATAGAAAGGAGATAGATATAAAAGTAGCTAAAGACTAGGAACTATTGGAAAGTGAAAGCAAGGGAGAACTCTAGAATTCTGCCAGGTTTCTTTTGCGGGTGACTGTGTAGACAATGCCACTGACCACGACAGGCAATACAAAGCGGAGCAAGACTGAGGGAAAACATGAGTTCACATTTGCACTGTTGTTTGATGTACCTTGAGAACATCCTGGGGGAGAAGTCCACTAGGCAGTTGGATATAAGGATCTGGGCTGCAGAAGTCTGAGATAAAGAATTGGGAATTGGCAGCACATAGCTGTTAATGGATGAGATCACCTAGGAACAGAATATAAAAGAGGACAGGAGCCTGACATCAGATAACTAAAGATCACAATTAGTGTTTCTAAAGCCACTTCGGACCAAACTTTGCCCAGAGTTATATGTGCTTCTGTAGTAAAATATCCAATATATAATGTTAAATTACAAAAATCAAATTGTAAAACTTCATGCTTAGTATAAAACCATTTTTACAAGTTATAAAAAAAAATAGTACTAGCAAAGGCGCAGGAAAAAATATATAGAGAAGCAAATGCCAAGCTGTTAATAATGGTTTCTATCTGAGATTATGTAAGCCTTTCACATCTACATTACATACCTCTATAGTATTTTGCTTTTTTCCTTACAAAAATGTACTAATTTTGTAGANACAATGCAAATGCACACGTGTGTGCACACACACGATGTACAAAGTATGTCAAAGGGATAGAGAGAAGCCAACTTCAAGATCTCCCAAAGGCCAAAGCTGGAAGAATTTGAACAATAAAGTAATATTGGATTATAACCCAAAGCTTTAAAAAACTGAGATAAATAGATGAGTAAATAAATAAATGGAGGAACAAGGCAAATTTCCCATGCAGAATGATTCCAAATCGTTTATGTAGATACTTTGCTGTCAAGGAAGTGGAAAATAACTCCCCACTCCTTAGGTGTGTGCTGCACACAGTGACTTTGTAAAGAGTACAGCATGGAAAGGGAGAAAAAAGAAAATAACTTCACAGTGGAGAAACCCGACAAATACTACCTCAAGCCAGAGGATCAAGGATAACAACAACAGTGATAAGTCATGTTGAGAGTATGTACCCTCAATATGATGTGACGAGAATGGCATTTTATCTGTTGTCTTCCTCCCAAAACATATTACCACAATCTAGTCAAAAACATCAAACAAATTCCAAATCACATTCTACAAAATAACTGACTAGTAATCCTGAAAACTGTCAAGAGATCTAAAAACCAAAGAATATCTGAGAAACTGTCACAACCATGAGGCGGCTAAGGAGACAAAACAACTGAGTGTAATGTGGGATCCTAGAACAGAAAAAGCCTATTATGGAAAAACTGAGGAATTGTGAAAAATGTATGGACTTTAGATAATAATAATATAATAGTGGTTCATTAATCATGACAAATGTACTATAGTAGTGTAAGATGAAACTGGGAACTTACAAAACTAAACTGGGTATTGGGTATATGGGAACTCTCTGTACTATCTGCAGTAATCCTGTAAATCTAGCTGTTCTAAATAAAATTATTTTAAAAACTGAAATCAAAGCATTGGAAATAAAGTTGAGAAAATATTCTAGAAAGTAAAACAAAAGAGAGGGATGGAGAATCGGAGACAAGATTAGAAAATTAGAGAATCAATCTAATAAGGTCCAATATTCAAAAAAACAAGGAGTTCAGAAAGAAAGTGCAGGGGGAAAAAGGAAGCAAGTGTCAAAGAAAATACCCCCGACTGAAGGATATGGTCCCCAGGTGGAAAGGGCCCATTTAGGGCCCAACACAATGAATGAAAACCCTTACCAAGCCACATCACTGTGAAATTTCAGAATACCTGAGTGGTTTCTGGGCCAATAACATCATTTCATACTGCAATCTGCATCCCCCCCTTTTCCTTTCCCCAACATTCTTCACCACTCCATCCCATCCTGCTCTCCTTTTTCTCTTTTCTAAAGCACTTACTTACTTTACAACCTTCTGATATTTTGTATAATGCATTTATTACTTTTGCTATTTACCATCCGGAACTTCCTCTGTGAATTTAAGCTCTGTGAGGGTAGGGATCTTGTAGTTTTGTTGACCCATATATTCAAAGTATCTTGACCAGTGCCTGCCACATAAAAAAATGTTTAATATACTCTTAGTGAATAATTTTAAAAGCTTCCAGAGGAAATAACAGGTCATATACAAAGGAATAGTTGTCATTCTGGAATTAGACTTCTTGATAGCAACACTAGAATTAGAAAATAATGGAACCATGCTTCCAAAATTCTAAAAGTAAATTATTTACAACTAGAGTGCCATATTCAGCTATCAATCAAGTATGAGGGTAGAATAAAGAAACATGCAAGAACCCCGAAAATTTGCCTCCCACTCAGTCTTTCTTAGGAAGCTACTAGAAGATATACTCTACCAACTTGGAGACACCAAGGAAGAAGATGACCTAAAATCCTGGTACAGGCTATCCAACACAAGGGAGAGAGAAATGGAATTCAGAGAAGATCGTAAATCTACACTCTGGGGAAAAAGCTGTACAACAGGCCTAGAGAATGAGCCATCAAGATGGTCACAGGGTGATAGACAATTTCAGGATAGATGTTGCAAAACAAACAGGTTACCTGATGTGTCTGAATCTATAAAAAGGAGATTTATATATCTTGTCTGAAGGGTTGTTAATAGATTACATAAAATACATAAAAGATACCTTAAAAAGATATAAAACATACAAGATACATGAAAGGTAGATATATAGAAGAACTAATAATTGTTAACTCTAGGAAAAACAAAAAAATCATATAAGGACATATCATCACAATATATTACCAGGCTCAGCTAACAATATTTACATAGTTAAATGATGTCAACACTAAATAATTATTTAACTAAAAATGAACATATAACTCATTTGTGACTCCAGAAAAGAGGGGAGGAGTAGTGCAATGCCGTGTTTAAAGGTGGAGGTTGGTGTAACAAACCTAAACTCCCATCTTCTATAATAGAAAATTGGTAAATATTTAAAACTGTGGTAGGATAAGGGTAGGGAGGGGAGACAGCTGTATAAATAAGCATGTTATTTAAAATATTAGAGGTGAAAAAAAGAGTTGAATAGTCATTAACTCTGGAGCAGCCTTTCTCAATAAAGATTCTGTGAGAATTAGGTAAGCCTTAAGGTATCCATTTTATGTAATAAATTAACTTCTCTCTTATGTCTCTAAAGTGTTATTAGTTATATACCATCTTTGGGGGAATTGAAAAAATAGCTACTCAAATCATTTTCTGTGTTTTGTGATTTGGATGAGGAATGCTGACTGAGAAAGGCTGCTTCTGGAGCACAGGATTCAGCGGCCAGGGCTGGAGCAGAGGCCTACTATTGTTCATTATTCAGTCTTGTAACTCTTTAAATTATGTACAGGTATCCCTTTGATAAACATAAAGATTATATTAAAAATAAATATAATAGAAAAAATAGTAAAGGAACTCTGGATATAGAATGTATAAAAAAATAAAGTATAGGAACTGAAAGGTCTAGAAACAGTTTCTCATTAGAAAAAGCCAAAGATTTCTTTCTAAAAAAATTACAGAATTCAATAAATACTATTCACAAAGCATCTCTGTCTATATAGCAATGTACTAAGAGCTGTTATTTGACATGCCTAAAAAGATACAGAAAAGGTAAGATAATTACAAAATAATAACCTAATCCAACAATTTGTAAAAGGTACGATAATGCAAATACTNATTATCTGATGAGGGACTTGTATCTAAAATCTACCAAGAACTCTTAAGATTAAATAATGAGAAAATAAACAATCCAATTAAAAAAATGAGCAAGGGAGGCTGGGGGTTGCTTCAGGATGAAGCTTGAACATCCCAACGGCTGCCAGAAACTCATTGAAGTGGACAATGAATGCAAACTTGGCACCTTTCCTGAGAAGCTCACAGCCACAGAAGTTGCTGTTGACACTCTGTATGAAGAATAGAATGGTTTTGTGGTTCAAATCAGTGGTGGGAGCAACAAACAAGGTCTCCCTATGAAGTAGGGTGTCGTGACCGATGGCCGAGTCGGCCAGCTACTGATTAAGGGGCATTCCTGTTATAGACCAAGGAGGACTGGAGAAAGAAAGCGCAAATCTGTGCAGAGTTGCACTGTGGATGCCAATCTGAGTGTTCTCAATGGGCATTGTAAAACAGAGAAAAATATTCCTGCTCTCACCAATACTACCGTGCCTTGTCGCCTGGGGCCCAAAAGAGCTAGTAGAATCCGCAAACTTTTCAGTCTCTCTAAAGGTGATTGATATCTGCCAATGCGCTGTTAGAAAGCCATTAAACAAAGAAACTTAACAAACCTAGGGCCAAAGCACCCAAGATTCAGAGTCTTGTTATTCCATGCATCCTGCGACACAAACATCGCCACATTGCTCTGAAGAAACAGCGTACTAAGAAAAATAAGGACAAGGCCTCAGAATATGCTAAACTTCTGGCCAAGAAAATGAAGGAAGCCAAAGAAAAATGCCAGGAACAGATTCTCAAGAGACGCAGTCTGTCCTCTCTGAGAGCGTCTTTCTACCTCTGAGTCCAATCAAANGGAGTAGGCAATAGCTACGAATGCATGTTACAAGTGTTAGATGAATGGTTGGAGGGTAACTATAATGGTGGGATCAGACCAACACATTTGAATCCAGTGATCAATTTCACCATCAATAAATGTGGACAAACCAAAAACATGTACCTAATGTGGAAGATACATCATCACGTAGAAAGTACTTGATGAAAGTACTCCTGCAAAAAAAAAGAACTGGAATCTAACCAAGCTTTTAGAACTAAATGCATGTTTATAGGAAATTTCAAGCATAAAGGGACAAATGACACCAAAAGAAAGTAATCAGCTAAATCCAGAAGGTGAAACACTCTACAGCAATGTTCCTCAAACTGTCTATGGTGAATGACTCTTTTTTAAAACTTCCAATCTATTGCAAACTATTAGTTTTGTAAAATACATACACAAAAAATACAAATTTTGCAATAATACATACAAACAAAAAAAATACATTATTAAATACATTTGAATGGTTGCCTGGAGTGACGAATAGGATTAAGAAATGATGGATAAAAAACAAATGAGAGAGCTTTACAAGGGCCACTTATGATAGTTGCCATGAACTGAGGATACCTGAGGCCCAGAAAAAATAAGGGATGCTTTAAAGGTAAGTTACAAATATTAGACAGAGCTTAAGAGAGAATTGAATATATTTGAAGACCCATCCAAAGAAAGTAACTA